GGGGGGGGGGGGGGGGGGGGGGGGGGGGGGGGGGGGGGGGGGGGGGGGGAGGGTTCTCGCGGGACAACCATTTTTGTTAGAAAAATGATTCAAACCCGGGAGATTCACCAGAATGTCCCCGGTCTTTAAGACCGTTCTTGATCCAGCGTCCAGTGGTAGGCGACACGTAATTTTTCGTCATTTTTCATCAATGCAACCTGACAAGTGGAGCGGGGGGCCAAGCAACTCGGAAGCACGCAGCTTCCTTTGATTTTTTCAGTCTATGCTGCGTAGAGTGCCACGCACGGTCAACCAAGCCGTCTTGGAAGGTTTGTATGTCTCTCTTTTCGGCTTGCACGGGCATCAGCGGCAAGACAAGAGGATCTTGAGGACGGCGGAGGTGGCGGAGCCTTGGAGCATGCGGTAGCAACCAACGCCGATTGCTTATCTACAAACAGCGACGGTGATCGCCCAAGACGTAAACGTAGAAGACTTGTTCCTGTCTTGTGGCTGTGTTGACCCCAGGCTTTCCTGCGGCACGGCAACGTGTTGTCCCGAGGGATCGGGAATTATCTCTCCCGCGGCCGATTTTTACCGCACGTCCTTTATTGAGTATTATTGTGGGCCACTGATATTATTGCTCAGCGTTGTCCTCTTTTCCCACGGTGACAACAGAGGAGATGCGGGTAGCAACTTTTCTTCAGCTCTATTGCTAAGAATACTTGCCGCCCATCGAATGGGCAGGCGTGAATGGCTCTGTTTTGGGCTTAACCGGGGGCGTGTGATCGGCAGTCCGCGCGAAAGCCCATCGACGAGAAGCACGTGCGTTGATGCTGCGGTGATGGCGTTCCGCTCGTCTGATCCGCCGTTTCCCCGACGCTGTGTACGATGAGTTCCTCCCACTTGTGGTAACGTAACATTAAAACACGTAAATTTCTGTCGTCTACTCTTGATGCCTTGCCGTTCTGTCGACTAAGGTCGTCAATGTCGTCCTGCGGCATTCGATCAAACACCAACAGCAGGTGGCGCCGAAACCCACCGATATATTAATCCTTGACGCGGTCTTTCATGACGCGTTTGTAAGCATCACGTGCGGCCGACTGTATGATGTCTGTGGTGGCGTCCCGTGTATTTGTGGGTGCCATTCCAGTCCTAGACATGTCCTTGTGTTTTAGACGCACCGGCAGGGGTCAGGCAGCGAAAGGAAGGGAAACGCTGGCTTTTGTCTTGATCTTCTTATGGGTAGATCCGATTATTATTTGCATGTCCCTGACCCCAGCGGAAGCCCGATAACATCGCCTGCCTTGCAAACTCAAGTCATCGCAACGTAGGAAGGGAAAACCAGGCGGTTTCCCTACTCGCGGTGGATCGTTTCAAGGTGACTTTCCCGCGCAACTGCAGGATCAGTTCTCGGTTCAAACCCAACCTGCGACTTTACTCGCGGGGTAGCGGTTTCCAACATCACTCCCGCGTTACTGCAGGACCACTTCAAACCTCAAAACCGCGACGCAAGATCTACAGCATGGTTGCGATGACAACACCCACGATAGGTTGCGTATCGCCCAGGAACCAACGCTGTGCAATCCAAAAGGCGAAAGGAGCTCTTAACGCTCCGCCGGAAACTACGGACTAAGCATGACTTGGGATTCACCGACGACCTCATACGAAGCCGAAACAGCAATTATAGCTAGCTCCACCTCTCCTGGTGTGTGGTTCCGCCATGTTCCGTCGCTCGCACGCGGCAGTTTCCATGGAACCCTGCGGTTTAGCCTGTCGACTCACGAGAGCTTCTATATCGGGGCCAAGACAACCGTAAATCAAAACTTTGTTACGATCAAAGAACCGAGGCACATCGGCACCCCACAAACACGCCACCGCACCGCAACCCTCCAATTTCAACCCCTCAGGCTTCGGTCCTGGACTCATTGGACACGGGTAACGGGGCTGCAGTATTTAATGGCGAATGCAGCACACCAGGCAGCGAATCCTTTCTAAACGGCATGAGGCTGCTGTCGAGCGCACTGAAATACTTCCTCCCGGGTGCTTGCGCCCCGCAAACGTAAAACGTCGGTACAACCCAACCCATTGTAGAGAAAAGTGGAATCGTTGCCTTCCCCGGACTGCTGCTCATGAGCCTCGTCCGCCCCCGCTCATCTACCCGTGATACGAACCGCTGCCAACCCTGTCACGGCACTCGGTTCCTCCATCTCCGGAGCACGAACCGAGCGCGCCGCCTCCGTTCTTCCCGTCTCCTCACCTCCGCATAAAAAAAAAAAAAAATCAACACGCGCCAAGCAAACACACACATCCCGCTAATGTAAGACCGACGTCTTTCAATTGGCCCGCCGGTTAGCGCGGTCGATACACGAACATACACGAAAAAACATGGGAGTTCAGCCGGATGGACTTGTCCAGGACATCCCGTCCGACGCTCGCCCACGACCGCAACACGCCTGCCCTTCTCGGGCTACTTGTCGCTGCTGCGCCGAGAAGACTTCTTGCGCCCGCTGCTGCTGCTTCCCCTGTCCTTCTTGCTGTTCTTTTTTTTCTTCTTCGTTCCTTCTTCGGCATCGGTATCCCCGCCCCCGCCCGCCCGGGACACCTCCTCCTCGCCAATCGCCTCGGCAATGGCTCCTGTCCTGCCTTCCACCCTGCCGCCGCCATCACCACCACCGCCGCCGCCGCCCGCCTTCTCGGCGTCGCCGCCGCCTCTACGACCACCGTTATTCTCCTCCTCCCCAGTGGACAAATCACCGCCTGCTGCGGCGGCAAGTGCGGAGCTCCTGCGCGGAGATGTCTCTGCTCCCTCCTGTCCCTCTGCATCGTCAGCCTCGGCCAAGCCGGTGGCGACGCCGACATCATCGCCGTCCACTTCTGTCCCGTCCCCGGCACCGCCAGCCATTTTCCGGCCCTCGCCGCCGTCCGCTTCCAGCACCGCCGTCCCAGGCTGATCTGCATCATCGACCACGTCTTGGCTCATGGGCGAGGCGCCGCCAGTGTCCTCTGTCTCACCAGCATTGCCGTCGTCATCATCCTGAGCGACCGTGAGGGCTTGGCCGGGACCCTCCCCATTTGTGTCGCTCTGCAGGGGTAAGGGTGCGTGCGGAGAACAGATCGGCATACATCGTGAAAGGGAGTGGCGATCGCGAAACGGAAGGGGGGAGAGCGAATCGCCGAACGCCAGTACTGTGGCACACACCAAGACACTAACATACTGGGAGATGACGGCGAGAAAGCTTCATTGCCAAGGGATTGGAAGTCATCCTGTCCCCGAGCACGGAAAAAGCGGCGCCGGTTCCGTACCTCGCAGGTCTATCATTGTCATCATCATTATAGGTGTAGGTGTTCAGACGAAGTAGCGGCGCAGGGTTTACATGTTGCCCCCCCAATTGCGCAGCGCTCTGCTATCTCAATCTGCTCGTCGTGGATTCATCTGATACTCGCCGCCGATTTTCGAGCTTCCGCTCACGACAAACTCCTGCTCTGGCTTCGTGACCTCTCCGCTTCCTCTGCCCACGGTTGCATCCTGATCTACCGTAGTCTGTACTCAAACGAACTCTGGCTAGAGGCCACACAAAAACAAGCCCCCTTCGATAACGACCGTCGTTCTGATGTCGCTTGTCTTCGTCGTCAAAAACATGCAAAGCGCGAGACTGCGCCTCCTCGCAAACCTCAAGAAAGCACTCATGTATGATATCACTCCTGGAAAGACGTAAAACAAAAAAAAAAAACACGCGACTAAAAATACATCATGAATAGACACGCGGTGACATCTACATAGTTCTTCCAACACTTTTCAGCCCGACCGCGATAATGCTCACCGCTCCCGCCTCCATCTGCCAGCGATGCCCGTTGCCTTCTCTGTGGGGGTTAGCGTCCCTGTCCTGCCGCCCCCCCATCTGCGGCACCCCCGTCTGCCGCACCCCCAGAGCGTGTGCCATCCTCCGGCTGGCCCGCGTCGCGGCTCGCTCGGCAACCTGATGGGGCGACAGGGTGGTGTCAGGGATGGGAAGGGGGGGCGGCGTTGGGCACATAGGGGGGAGGGGTTGCCAAGCCATTGGACCCTGCGAACTCCGCATACCTTTCGAATAGGAGTTGTGTGCGACGGCATGGTCAGTCCAGTCCGCACGAAATGCTTCAAGAAAGCAAGCGGTACGAGATAAGGGTACACCATCCATGCTTGTTTGCCGCAACCAGAGGCGGTTGAAAGATTAAAGGTGGAATCGAAACTTATGTGCAGGTGATACGTGTGCCTCGACGGGGCGGCGGCGGCGGGGAGCTGGTAGGCATGTTGCGTAAGGAAGAAGCTGCTCGAGAAGGACCTCTCTGCCGTTAAGAAGGGAGAGCTGGCCGGTATACGCGGTCATACAAAAAGGGGTCCGCGAAAAAATGTGTTACTTCGTCAGCGCGGCATATTTCTTGTTGTTTGGAAGAGTCCGTCACACATGACAGAATCGGCACTTTCCAGAACAAGGAGGGAAAGAGACAGAGAGACAGAGACAGAGACAGACAGAGAGAGAGACCGAGAGAGACAGACAGACAGACAGACAGAGAGGGGGGGGGATCCACTCACCGAAGCGTCGATCTCCTGGAACTCCCTGTCGTCGGCCTCTTTCCTCCGTTCGATGTTACCGTCAATCTCCTTGCTAGAGTCTGCCAGGAGAGCCTAGGCAAAAGATTGAGAGAAAATGGGAGCGAGCAAACAGAACGTCACAGCAACGGTTAGAAAGCGGCAAACGGCAAAATAGGTACCGTGAAGAGAGGCTGCAGTGCGCAACCAGGCATGCGCAGCTTCCGAAACGGGCGGGATACTCATCACGAGACAGATGTTACAAACAAACAAGGATTAACAACACAGGGTTTGGCTTTCCGACAAGCATCAAGTGCTGAAATACCAAACGAATCGGCCGTTTTGATTGGCTCACTCGCTTCGGTGCTACTACATGTACCACAAGTAAAGCTACGCTCCCCGCAAAAAGTCAACCACACACACGGCAAGGCCCAGGCTATTCGTCTACACCAGCCGCACAAGCAGGACAACCAAGGAAAACAGCAGCCAAAAAACTGACGCGACCGGGTGGGGGGAGGACGGGGGCACCCGTGCCAAAAACAGCGACCAGTCGCGACGAGGCACACCTGGGTAACGTCGGTATGCTCGTTGGGTGACCAAGCTAGCTTGGGCAGGGTCTGCGAAAAGCAAAAAAAGTCGACAAAGGGGAAACGGCGGGCAAGGCGGGAAGCGGATGAGCAGCAGATCAGAGGCATGCGCGTAGAGCGTATGGGTTGAAACACGGTGAGGCATGCTCGGCCTGCACACGTGGAAATCTACGCGGCAACGGCCAGTCACTTGGCACTAGGTACCGTAGGTGACAAGATACCACACACTCTGACCGATTTTCCGAAGGTCGTTTTCTCGTCAGCAGACAGTGGCGGTGCCAAAAATGGTGACGCTGCAAACGTCTATCGTTGAGAGCTTCCCGAAAATGCGCACTATTTCGGGTGTGGCATCATCTTTGGCGTGGAGTAATCCAACGTTTAAAAAAGGTTCAGGGTGGCTGATATATTACGTGTCACCTACGGTGTCCCCGTCAACGTGCTGCTGGGTTGCCTCAAGCCAAATCGTGTTAAGTCTCTGCACGCTTCCGTACTACAATGTTGTTGGCGCTGTCGTGATGCATACCTTCGTGAAGATGAACCCCTTGAGCTGCTCCTGGTTGGCGATGAAACCGTTTCCGTGAAGAGCAACCAAGGTCTTCTGCTGCCTCGCGCGGATGTAGTCGCGCTTGTGCAGCTCCTCGTCGCGCTCCTGCCGATTTGACGCAAAAAAAAAACAAAACACACACACACAGTTTTGGTTGGGATCTCTGCGACAACGATAGTGGTGAGATTAATTCTTTTGGGAGTGACGAAGACGAAGGAAAGGGAAAGGGGAGAAAGGAGGATGACGACGATGGAGCAGAAAAACATGGAGGAGTGGAAGAGAGCAAAGGGTTTGAGCCAGATGACCTTCCCCACAACAAGAAACGTAGGGCTAGGGAAGAACTGCCCAGAGATTCTTCTTGTCGAAATGAGGATCAGAATGATGGTAGCGAAAACAAGGAGGACACTGGTGAAAGTACTCCTAAACGAACTCGAGTACTAGGTAATAGCCTTGGTAGACGCGTGCATTTTTCGTCTGTTGCTGCTGTTTCTGTTTTTAATCCGAAGGATGGTTTAGCCTCCCTCATGCTGCCCCCTCACGGGGTCCCAGTTCATGGTAGATAGAAGTGTTTTGTGTTTTCAACCGCACTAAGACTGACGTCTTTTCATTGGTCAGCCGGTTAGCGCGGTCGATGCTAATAATAAACACACACACACACACACACACACACACACACAACACACGCACATCGGAGGAGGAGTAACTCAAAAGCAAAACAGGTACCATGAATATTTCTCCCATTTTAAAAAGAACATGTACAGGATGATGGCAACAATGTTTCTCCGAGCATCAAGAACATGTACAGGAAAACATCTGTTGATCCAGGTAGCTCTGAAGCTGTTTCCTTGAGAACTTGTGATCTAGTATCACAAATATCGGGACACGTCCCACCCCAGGGGAATGTCCCACCACTCTCCCTCTATTCGACATGTAGGAGCTCCCCTTCTTCGGCATCGGGACCTCGTGACGGGTGGTATGGGCCGCGACAACAAAAGGGCGAAAAAAAAAACACCGAGCTCGGTGATACTCGACGTGAAACTTCAAATTCGAGTCACAGCGGGGCCAAATAGCAGCGGGGGGATACACCAACCGCGTCGACACGAACGCGATGCTCTGCGGGTGGTGGGGTCCATTCCAATTGTCAGCTGCACACATCCACGCTCTCACGCACGAAGAAGGGGAGCTACTATAAGGTATTGAGTACTGTAGAAGGAAAGTGGTGAACATTCCTCCGGGGCGGGACGTGTCCCGATACTTGCGATAAAATAAGCCGAGACGCCTCGTTCCATCCCATCCTATCCCATTCCATCCCATTCCATTTCCATTCCATCCCATCCTATCCCGTCCGGTCTCTCACCTCACGAGCCGCAATTTCAGCCGTCTGTCGGCGTTGCCTCTTCTCTTGCGCCTGCCTGATCGCCGCCATCTCGACCACGCTCTTCTGCCGCTCGATAATGGACTGTACACGTTCGAAGGTTGTCATGCCACGGCGCCCCCCCCCCCCCCCCCCCCCCCCCCCCCCCCCCCCCCCCCCC